TCAGATTCTGTGATTTGCTGAAGTATATAATGTTTTTCCAGATATCTTATGGATTCATAATGTGTATTTTAAATGGACAAGATTTTGAAGATTCTAAAAATGAAGTCTTCAAGAAAAAGTTTTAGAAGGCTCATTTTATTTACAGCTAGATTTTGTCAAATTTAGAGCTAAAATACAGCTCAGATGACAAACATAGAGTTTTTGAGCATTTCAACTCAATCAGATTTGCTCATATTTCTTTGAGCCTCAGATTTGATAGGAGGCTTCATATGCTCATAACTTTTTAAGCCAAGTTTTGAATTCCTCGGATCCAGAGCAAGAATGTTGGTGTAGTGGAGTAGTTTCTTTCTCTTAACTTTTTTGATTTTTCACGCCAAGTCTATTTCAGACTACTATATTATGAACATTTAAAACAAATTCAAGAGCCTGGAATAAAAAAAATATTTTAATAATTCAGCTTATTGTTGGTACCCCTGTTAAATTCTTTATATTATGTACATTGTCATTACTTAAGTGTGCAACATATGGGATTTTTTTTAGTAATAGCACAATCAAAATACAAACAAGGCCAAAAGTTGGTGCATGTCTGATAATCATATTAGGTGCACTTATAATGGTTGCAAGTCAAACAGCATACAGGGTGGCTCAAAAAATATCAAAATTCTACTTATATTTACTTAAATAAAATAAAACTTTTGCAATTTAAGGAGTTTTTTTAATATGGCTATTATCATTAGTAATGTTTTAACTTGTTAAAAAAAAAAATTGCGGCATTTTGAAGTTGTGTTGAATATCATTGCAACAAACATGAATTATGTGATTCCATAAAAAATTAAAAATCTAAGTTAATTTTACAAATATGCTTGAATTTGAACAAAGTTATGTAAAATTGATTTGATTTTAATTAATTTTTGAAAGTATTAAGGGCGGAAATAAAAAATAAAAAAAATATAGAAATTATAGATTTTTTTTGAAGGAAAATAAAAAAAATCTTAGGAGGCTATGTTTTGGTATTTAGGCATAACTTTTAATTCCAAACAACTTTTCTCTATAACATTTTGTTGAATTTTCTAAAATAAGGGTACTTTACAGTACAACTTTGATATTGTTTGAGCTACCCTGTATGCTGTTTGACTTGCAACCATTCTAAGTGCACCTAATAAGATTATCAGACATGCACCAACTTTTGGCCTTGTTTGTATTTGGGTTGTGCTATTACTAAAAAAAATCCCCATATGTTGCACACTTAAAAAATCACACTGTACATATACATATATTATTGTTCCGAATAATCCTAGATTTTCGATTAATATTTGTCAATCTATGGTCATCATGGCAGAAATGAGTTTTTTTTAATAAAAATTTTTCCAAATCACGGCAGTTAATAATAATTATTTCTGTATGAATGGGTTTTTGACAAGAAAAGCTCACTGGGTTCTTGCAAGGGTTTTTGTCAATGGTTTGTTTTTGTGTCAAAAATCCACTGGGTTTTCAAAATGAGTTTTTGTGTATGCCATTTCTAGGGGAGATTCAGGAAATTCTGAAGGAAATCTGTGGAGATTCAGGGAATTCTGAGGAGATCTATGGGAGATCTGAAGGATATCTGGGAAAATCTGAGGGAAATATTACTGAGTGAAAATGTGTGCACGTTGAGAATTCAATTTTCTATTGATTGAGAGAGGATATCATGTTACCAGGTTTTCCACTAAAACAAAAATATTATACCACATATTATAATAAATGTAGCTTTTATATTGCCAGGAAAGTAATAGATCAAGAGAAAATGCACATGTTGTGTTAAAGAGAGGGGGAGCTGTGTTCTGGCTGTGCACTTGAGCTGGTATTCTATGAAATCCCTAAAAAAATAGGGAGATCTAGCGAAATCTTGGAAGATTAAAGGCAATCTGAAGAAACCTTAGGGGTAATCTGAGATATGTGAAGGAGATCTGGGGTAATTTGTGGATATCTTTTGCATAAAGATCTCTTGTACACTTAAATATTAATCACAACATATTTAATTTCTGATGAAAGATACCTAATCCTCAATTTTAACCTTTTGCCTTCTGTCCTTTAAATGATCCAAAAGCTAATTATGTGAAGTCCCTTTAAAATCTATTGCAGTTAGTATCCGACTCGTTTTCTGAGAAAAAAATACCATGATCAACTCAACTCTACTGAATGCCTTGGAGAAGTCAGTATGTATCCATCTGATACCCCTTCTCCAAGGCACTCAACAGACAAAAACAATAAAACCATGTGAAAGGAAATATTTTATTTTCCTCAGCCCTGAAGCAAAGCTACTTGCTACTTCCTAGAATTAACAAAAGTGCATTACGTTGCTTGAACAGCAATTCTAAATTTTTTGAATAAACAGTGAGGCAAAAGATAAGCGTAACATGACAAAAGGTACCAAACTCAACACCACATAATCAACAAAGTTCTTAAATTCTATTCAAGTAGGTACAGTCGGAATCATTGCAATTGGCACACACTCTTTAAAATCCCCCGTATTAAGTGAAAATTCTAACCAATAAATCTATTTAGTGCAATATTTTGCTATTACTGTATGTCAGATTTGACACATTACGAGGGATATTTACATAGTCTGTGCCAATTGCAATGATTTCCATTGTATAATTGCTCAATCATACGTATAAAAATTGGTGATAATTGCTTCTTCATATAACTGGTTCCATTACAGCCTTGAAATGATAGATAGATAGATAGATAGATAGATAGAGTATCTAACTATCTTGTTTCAGTGATGGTGAAATTAATTAATTTAAAATAAGGCTTCAAACTTTAATCTTTGCACTTCTTGAGTGATATCAAAAATAGGTAGGTACAAAATCATCAAGTACCTATATGAGATTCGACAGCATAAAGCATATGAAAGATTTGTGTCTGTCCTACTCTCAGGACATTTAACTACTAAAATTACAAATCTTATCTTGAGCAATAAGGACAAGGCAAATAACTTTGCATAAACTTTAGACTAAGGCCTATATTGCAATTTAATTCTCAAACTATGTATGACCTTTAATGTTAATAATTACAATAGGTATGCAACTTGAAACTCAGAGAATTAGAAATTCGGTGGAAATGATCTGCCTATCCGAGAATAAAATTAATATTGGCTGATCATTTTTGAAAATTATCATTGAGAAAAATCATGCTGAGCTAGGTAGTAGGCATAAGATGATAAGCAGTATAAGCACTAAGATAAAGGTGCAACAGTAAAATAAATATAATTTTAATCAGGATTTTAATCGTCTCAAAACGGGGTATTTGAAGGCCATTTACTTTGGTTACATGGTTAGTTACTAGCATCCAATGTTACATGAGTCACACGTAAATGAATAATTATAAAATTTTCGTTTTCCATGCCACTAAAAACTTACTTTTATACATTTCATATTTCGGAATCCAGGGGACAGGGGAAGATATTGCAAAAAAAAAATTGAAAAAGAAATACCAAAAAATCAATAGTCTGGTTGGTCTATGAGATAAACGAAGATAAAACGCAATTTAGGCAGCTGCACGATTTGATTCACCATGGGTTATGCATTTCGCGACTAAGTTAAACAGTCCCTGAATGGGAAAAATCCACATTTGTCCAGTTGCGCGCCGAGAAAATCAACTGGAAGTGATATCAACAATCAACATACATTTTCCAAAATTAAATTTTCGGAAGATGAATATTTTGACACAGAACTGACATCTGACAGGAGTTGCACTCGTGATCCGGAAATTTGACACCAAAAATGTTCCAGGGGTGCATTCGAAAACTACAGGTCTATTCCAAAGCGTTAAAAACCGTCCCATGAATGGTTTTGAAATGTTTTGAAACCACTATGTATACGAACGTCGATTTCTATGCATAAATCTTAGGGTTTGCGCAGAATCGTGACGGTAAATTGTACGGTTTATTGCTCCGATAGAGCAACGCTGTTGCTGTGAAAATTGCTTTCGAGACTGAAGATTGAGGACGCGTTTTCCAAGTAACACGTAACACTAGTGTGCACTGAGTGCAATATTATAGGCTTTCCAGTGCTTCAGAGTTGCTATCGAATCGTGGGATCGGGATCCGGGCCCTGAACACAACCAACAATCATTGGCAATCACATATGAATAGACCAAAGCTGTTTTTTCGCGTCCACTTTTTTGAAACTGAATCAAAACAGGTTTAAAATAGTATATTTTCGTGATGAACCCATGACATCACACAAAATTGGTTCAAACAGTTTCGAAATACAATCCAATCCACGTTTTTAAACCATTTTCTCGCGCCGAGAACTTATGACGTCATTGTAAAAGTGTTTTAAACCAGTTTTGAAAAATGTTTCAAAACTTTGAGACGCGAGAAAATACCTCAAAACACACTTTTTTAAACTATAAAATGCGATTTTTTGCATGAAATGGAAGTTTTGTAGTAACACTTTTCACTCCTTTCTAAATGAAAACAGAACACAAACAATCGTGATTTGTTTACTCCGAACACAACACAAGTTTTATAAAGAGAGTATAAAGAGTTAAAAAGGCTGAGTTCGGCTCACTCTGTAAACTCTGAGCGCGTTCGAAATGATAAGATCCTGTTCGTTTTAGAACTCAGAGTGTTCTCTTTTGCGTTCGGGTTAAAATCGAGCACGTACCCTGAACTATCTTTCCTGGATGGATGGAGAACCAGAGAAATTAAGTTATCGTTACTTTTGAAAAATTCTAAAATATGTCATAAAAATTTAATTCGGTTTGCGTTTCCGGTTTTTTTTCCCTAGATTTCTCTTCTACTTTTATTTCAGGCCCATTACTAATTTACCTACTCGTTTATTAGTAAAATAAAATCAAAATCAATTTGTTTTTTTTTTCGAAATTAGTGACAACTGTGACAAGATTTTCAGGATTTTTCTTCGGCTTGTAATCTTGTTCCAGGGCGCACTCTGCGTATGACGTCACGATATCCATGCTCATACCATTCTGCTCCGTGGAGTGCAAAGGCGAACAGAGAGTACAAGTCCGAACACTCCGAACGAGCTGATTTTGTGTTATTGTTTTGATTTTGTTATTTTGTTTTATTTTATGTGCAATATTTTAATTTTATAATTTAGTAAATTTAATAATAAAATGAAGGAGTTCCTGGCTGAAAATAACGCCTGCGGTCAAACGATTCTGGTCCTAGTCTCTAGAGGAAATGCCATAATAGCCGAACTGCTTAGGTTAAAAAGTTACATTCCTAAAGTTTATAGGTAAGTGCTCTTTAAATAAAAACTGTTTAAAGTCAACATTGCCTTCTGCAGACTCGAATCCAAGCAGGATATACAAAAATATGGAGACATCATTTTGGATTTTTCTTACCTTAAAACTTCTGAGGAGCAGGAGAAGAAAATTGAGAAAAATGAGGTACGATCTTGTAGTAGTTTTGAGAAACGAAGGAGTTAGTAGCACTCCAATGCTTTCAAATTTCGAGTTAAAAACTTGTTGAGAATTTATTTTACTGTGTGTTTGACTTAGGATTTGTGTCTTGGATTACACTTAACTCTTCCAAAACACCTCTTCTAAAACACTTATTATTGGATCAGCAATATTTGGGTATAATGCTTCTGCAGCTGAGACAAACTTTTCTCATATATTTTTTTCAACAATTTATTTATTGTCCGAGCAATGAGCAAAATGCTCACAACTATAAAGCCCGACGCCCCGTAAAAAAGGTTCCATAGTGCACTCATTGATGAACATGTTGGTGTATCTTTAAAGAGCGCTTATAAAGTCAGCTAGAGAAAGACCAGAAAATATTTGAATGCCAATATTTTCTCTAAAACTGTGAGCAAAATTCTCATGCCGCCAGTGATGCAGGAGTTTACTTAGCAACTTTTTCAACCATGCCTTGGTGATAAAAGATTACTTTGATACTTTGATTTTTTAATGCGGCTACCAGTCTCTTCAAAAATTAGGAATATACAAGAAAATATATTGAGAATAAATAATATTTATTCGGTTTTCTTTTTATTCTTAATCATGAACTAACGTTTTTTACCTTTCAACAGACTTTACGTGAGCTTGACGAAGAATTTAGAGACAATCATATAGAAATAATCAGTCGTTTCTATTTACTTTTTGAGAGCATTCACAGCTACATCATCGATTTAAACCATTACATCGAAGAATTAGAAGAAGGAGTTTATATACATCAATCATTAGAAACAGTATTTCAGGATTTAGAAGGGAAACAACTTTTGGTAAGAATTACTGTTCCTAGAACCCTAACGCACATAAAATATTGTAATTTTATAGAGTGAAGCACTTTTTCTTTATGGTTTGATGTTATTAATGGTAGATACTTACATAGACGGACCAGTCAGAGAGCGATTACTTGTTTCATATAACAGATACACTCCGCAAAGGAGAGATACTCAAAGCTGCTTTGATGAAGTATGTAAACTTCTCATGGACACTGGTTTTAATACAGCCAAAAAACCACAAAATTATCCAGAAGATTATTTTAAGTAAGTAGACTATCAATCAGGACTATTCATTGAAAATGAACTGATTTCATGACACTATATTTTAGTAATGCAAAGTAATTCTACAACTGCATAAGCGCGGGCAATAGCCAAACCACCAACAAATAGATTCACTTCACATCAGTTAATTTTGATTGTTGTGCTTGGCTTGCTAAGTCTCCAACTAATGTTAAATATGTGCCTGTTTTAAAGTTGTTTTTAAAAAATACACCCTAGAGAAGATAATAACTTGGCATAGCTAAAATAAAAAGCATTGACATTGTGGTTTACTTGTTTTCTTTATATAAATAGTTTCTTTTTTCAGGAGAGTTTCCATAAATCCAACATATGTGGAATTGGTTATAGGATGCCTCCGCTCAGACGACATATATTCTCAAATCGTAGTTTACCCCCTACCAAGGCATAGAAGTACTGCACTAGCTACCCAAGCTTCGATGCTCTATGTTTGTTTATATTTTGATGCGAGAATTCTGCATTTTGAATCGGCTGCTATGAGAGAGATTGTTGATAAATATTTTCCTGACAACTTTATAATTTCAGTCTATATGGGGTAAGAAAATTGTAGACTTAAGAAAAATTTAGGATATGTGCACAATAAGGATTCACGCTTTATTCTTTTATACACTTTTTAGATTTATCATAAATCTCGCCGAATCATGGGACAATTTTAAATCAGCCCATCTGGCGCTTAACAACACTCTGCAAATAGCAAATCTCAAAAACTATGCCAACAATTATGGACAAAAGCTGCCGGAATTGTTGAAATGCACTGGAAATCTTCTAAAAGAAGGAAATATCACAAAGGACAATATTTTGAAGGACATTAACAACATCGTGAATACTTTGAGGGATTGTAATGTGATTTTGAGGTGGCTAATATTACATACTGTTTCACTGCCAGGTAATTTTTTAGGTATTGCTTATGTCTTTAAGAATGGTTTATGTGAAAGCTCTGGCTGAAAATTGTCAAATAAATGTACCCTTGCAGGCACCACAGACAAAAACAAAAAACTAAAACAACTCAGAGACTTGATAATCTCTGAATCAAATTGCGAACAATCCTATTTATTCAGGCTCCTGTTAAACACGGCTCAATTGGAACTCATTACCAAAGAACTCTACAGAAATGCATTGTCTGAGAAGGATATCCAATGGGAGAAATTAAAAGACAGTAGTCATAAAAGTTTGCTGGAACTATCAGAAGTTTTCAGCGGCACAAAGCCGCTAACAAGGATTAAAAAGAATTTAGATTTGGAAGGGTGGTTTAAGCAAATAGCTGAAAATGTTGAGACCTTGTCCACAGAGGATACAGGATCTGCGAGAAAATTGGTGCAGCTGATTCAAGCTTTGGAAGAGGTGCAGGAATATCATCAGTTAGATAATAACATGCAGGTAATTATTGACAAACAGCTGGCAAACTTGTGACTAATAGACAAATATTTTTCTTTTTAGATTATTCAATTTCTTTCTGAAACCCGCAATGATCTTGATCAAATGATACGAATTATGAATATCAAAGAAGATGTGCTAATAAATCTTCAAATTATTGGAGATGTAAGTTATGCTTGGGAACTCATTGATTTTTATACGAATATTATGCAAAATGGAATTAAGAGGGAACCAAAATTAGTTATCAAACTTAGAGCTGTATTTTTGAAGGTACTTTCAGAGCCTAACTAAAATGCTTTAAGTACAAACGTTTATATTTTGCTATTTATAGTTAGCCTCTGCTTTAGAACTTCCACTGCTACGCATCAACCAATCGCATAGTAATGACTTAGTCTCAGTTTCCGAATATTATAGCAAAGAATTAGAAATTTATGTCCGAAAAGTCCTACAAATAATTCCAAATACCATGTTTGATAAATTGGCCCGTATTATAGCCATGCAAACCGGTATAATAAAAGAACTGCCCACCAGAGTGGACAAGGACAAATTGAAAGATTACGCTCAACTAGAGGAAAGATTCGAATTTGCAGAGTTAACTCATTCAGTGTCGATTTTCAGTCAGGGTATGAGGATGATGAAGAATACCTTGGTGGGAGTGGTGTGTTTGGATCCAAAGCAATTGCTCGAGGATGGGATTAGGAAGGAATTGGTGCTGCATACATCCAAAGCTTTGCATAATGAGTTTAAATTTAGTACAAAATTGAGGCAAGATGAGCTGGAAAATAAACTTAAGAGTCTTGGGCTTATCATGGATGGGTATAAGAGGTCTTTCGAATATATTCAGGTGAATTTAATTACTTAGAATTATGTAGGGGATTAGTTGAAGATACAAAGGTTCATTTGTCATTGTCTTAGGAAATTGTCAAACATCCACTAGATAGTATTTTTGTTGGGCCTTTTTTGAATTGTTGAAGAGCAGAAACGGCCTGCCAGGTTTGTCTCTAGTTTCTAAATAATCTGAGTTACAAAATACTCTGGTTGACTTCTTAAAAGGGGCCTCAGACACCAATTTCTAGCATTTGATTACTAATAATCCTGAGTGGTGGAACACAGTCTCGATTGAACATTGTTATTGTTTTCTAGGATTACATCAATATAAACGGCCTAAAAATTTGGCAAGAAGAAGTGACTAGAATAGTAAATTATAACGTTGAGCAAGAATGCAATGGTTTCCTGAGAAACAAGATTTACCCTTGGCAGAGTGTATATCAAAGCAGATATGTACCAATACCAATTTATCCTCCCATAGATGAAAGTGAGAACTTCATTGGTAGATTGGCTAGAGAGATTATAAGGATAACAGATCCAAAGTAAGACAATTGCTACTTTTATCAAAATATAAATTAGCTACCTCAATTTTTCTTCTTTTAGGTCAGCTGTATATTTGTCAACGACATTGACTTGGTATGATATTAAAACGCATAAACCAATATTTAATAAAGAAACCATTGCATCTGTTGCTCAATCAATTGAAATAACAGGATTAGTGGGGTTGGATAGGCTGTTTTCTTTTATGATAATTACTGCTTTACAGCGAATAATGGGTAAGAATTTATATTTTGTATATCACCTGCAAGTTTCCCTTAACTCTCTCTTAGTTTCCAAAACTGAATCTTTAGAAGATACATAAAGAACATTTTTGGTATCCCAATCGTGGTATTGGACACCCTGTATTTTAAAGTCAAAAACTTTAACCATTAGAAGGCTTCCTAACATAACTTTTTAATGTCCTATTTTTATAATAATTAAAAAGTTAATTTTATTTCAGCCTATTTAGAAAACAAAAACGTTAACACAACATCTTGGACCAACGTTATTACCACCATTCAAAGTGACCTAAAACAACGAACAGAAGATTGGTTAAATCCTGCTAAAATTTATCAGACATATGTTAATAGGAGCGTGAAAATTTGGAGCGAGTTCTCAGAAAAAGTTTTATTGATTGGCCAGTTACAACTGTTGAGAAATTTGATTGCCTTTCATTTGAATAAGTCTTGCAGATTTAACGCTAAGAATTTGGAGTGTGCGTTGAGGTCTCTCAATAAGTAAGTACATACTTTCGACAGATTTTCTAAAAATGAACTTTCTCTCTTTATTTAGGTCTTTACTGTTGGATTTGAAGCAAGACAATCCCCTTCCTTCGGAAGAATTTGTTCATAAGCTTTCTGAATATTTCAACTATGCTGGTCAGAACGAACCTTTCAGCAAAATTTACGTTACATCAAGAAACAACAGCGACTACGCCATTACCCTATTTATTTTTGTTTTGGCTCACATCAAACTAGTGTTTTTACCACAAAATTTGGGTGAGTGTATAGCAACTTTGTTGAGGATTCTTTCTGTGTTCCAGTTGTTTAATAAAACCATGGAAAACAATAAATTCAATTTTCTTCATATTTTTCAGGCAGCCTTAGTAAAAGAACTTACGACCAAATTGATGGTGTAGCTCTCTCAGCTGGTGTCCATACTATCCTGAAACAATTCCACAGTAGCATAAACGGAGACTTTATTAAGTTAGTGGCCGAATATGTTTTGCAGTTAACCAAATTTAACGGGTGAGACATTGCAAATATCATTTTATTTTTGAAAAATACTAAAGTCAGGATAATATCATATCCAGACTTGAGAAAAATTCTACACTTTTTGTATGCTTAGTGTGTTTGTTAAACAAAAAACATCACAGTAAAAAAGTAGAAGATGATAAATGAGCTATGTTAATATTAGATTTTTTTGGCAGCACAAAAAGTCCCGAAATTCTTCCAGAAGTAACTGTAATGCTCAACTTCATGGATTGCTACACCAACTATTGCAGCAGTTCTAGAAAGTTTTACAAAGACTACCTTCCTGAGGAGATAATGCACATAGAACAATCTCTAGCATCAATCAGTTTATAAAAAGCAATATAACAGACCTTTAACACTTTATTATTTTTCTGAAAATATAAAAGTCTTAGTTATATCACTTTCATTTCAAAATCAAACTTTAATTGTAATTATTGTTTATACATAAAATGTATATACCATCTGGTTCAATGATGAAAGTATTTTGTGTATTCGATATTTTTTGTAAGAAATCACAAAGAGAACAAATAAAGATAAATACAAAATTATTTATATTAAAAGTTGTTTTTTGTGTTAATTTTGAGATTTTTCAAATTTCGCTTGGGTGCCAGATCATGCTGCAAAGAAGAAATGAGTTTAATATTAAGCTTAGATCTAAATAAAGTTGAAAATTGTCAGGACATGAATCATGAATATAAAAATGACTTGCCATTTTGTTGAGGAGAAAGGGGAAAATAAGTGCTTTTTGAAATCTAAGAAACGTGTCATGGTAGACGATTCTCCACAAAGTGGATGTCTGTAAAGGATTTAAACAATTTACCAAAGAAAAAACGACTCCTGTTGATGAAACGGTGTTCTTTTTGAAAAATTCAAAATCAAGAAACAAATTCCTGACATCAGTTTGTGTTTTTTTATTAAAATAAAAAAAAATTGCCTTCTAGTATGGGCCAGTTTCTCAATAGCAAGCCAAGTTAAGCATAGCTCAACTCCAGGGTGAACATTGCAACTAGACATGTTCACACTGGTGTTGAAACCAACCCGAAGGTGACTCGCTAATTGAGAAACCGCCCCTATGTCACTGGATTTGATCATTTTAATCGAATCAGGTCTTAATTAGCCTCTTACCACTACAAAAAAGTCTCATAAAGATTGGTAAAAAGTCTTCTGTTATGGATTGAAAAACTCATGACGTCATATTGAAAGCAAGTAAAGTACGCAGTTGTCGTGAACACCAAAGCCGTTTTCTCGCGTCCACTTTTTTGACATTGGTTTAAAATAGGTTTGAAAGGGGCAATGCTAATACCATTGCCCGTTTCAAACTTGTTTTGAAACAATTGTCGAAAAAGTGGAGGCGAGAAAACGGCTCAAGTGCAGTGAAATAAAATGTGAGCACTCTCCATGCCACAACATCATAACATCCGTCTGAACGAGCCTTAAGTAGTCGCATGAAAAAGTTTACAAAAACGGAGCTGGGTTTATATGGCGATTTCCATTTGTCAATCAGTGCACACTGAGTGTATCCGCATCTTTTTCTAAAAGCTTGTAAAATATAAGAATAAGGATAGGTAGGTACATTTTTTTTTCACTGATTCTACAAATGGAAATCGCTATATAGGGTGAAAGTACCTGTTAGCCGGCCACCCCCTGTTGTCGGACACTTTATGACAAAATATCCAATAAATAGGAAAATATTATATCAAACCCCTTTTTAGAGTAATACCTACTTTCAGACACTATTTCCCCACCAGTTTTTGCAATACCGTCCTCTTTACGGGCCTAGACCAAATTAAGAAAAATAATAATATTTCGGCTGTTTTTCCCAACACAGCCCTTTTGATCAAGTGGAAAAGTTTGCTAGTGTGAAGCTAAGAAGGAAATAGTAATTAAAAATGTTCCTACTCCATTTTTCGATATTTTGTTGATGTTTTTAAGTTATAAACATGTTAATCTACGATTATAACCATAAAAATTAAATGAATATTAATATTTTGTTAATTTTATTAAATGTCCGGATAACCGGTCTTATAAATCGGCAGACTCCTCTTCTCGGCCACTCTGTCCGACAATGGGTCCGGCACGTTGAAACTATATGTATCTTTTTCTAGCCTATTTGATTTTCAACTTAATTTTCCGTATTAGATACATTAGAAGACTGTATCGAGATTCTATGGACCAGTTTGCGGACACTATAAACCACAAAGGCGTCAAATTGTAGTATACCTGAAAAGGTGTCCGAGAAAAGGTAGGTGTAAAGTTCTCGGACATTTTACATTACTTATATGGGTATGGGGTAGTGCTCTCTGCTTTCATATTAATAAAAAAGTGTTACAAGTGTACAGAGAATAAATCTGATAAAAGTATTTATGAAATAGAAATTGAAGAAGCAATGGAAAAATCTCCTAAAGATCAAAGTGATTTTCCTGGAACTGAGAAACCTGATAAAACAACAGACATAGGACTGGAGGCTCGAAAAAACTCCCATTAAACTGCCAAATGTTGCCGTTGCTGTAAGTCCTTTCAGTCGCCACCCTCAATTTCCGGAACCTATCAAATAAGAGCCAAGAATACAAAAAAAAGAGAATTTACCAAGTGCCATCTCATTGAAGGCATGGAGATCATATTATGGAAGAAAGGAATGAGAAAAAAAAAAAAAAAAAAAAACTTGAAGTACAAAAAAATAAACAAGAGGACTAGAGAAAGAAAATACCAAAAAAAGTGCAAACAATGATGGAAGAAAATAAAAATTCCAAAATAAAATATTGGTTGTGAGAAGTGCCCAAACTCGTACTATTTAGCATGTACTAGTTTATGTGGACGAGAAAACGTATTTCTCGGACACGTGTCCGACAACGGGTCCCTTTGTGTCCGAGAAATGTAATGATTGTCCGACAACCGGCAAAATGCACGTTTTTTGAATAAAGCATTTTTCTACAAAAATGCAAAACCTTTCAACCTTTTTTTGTTGCAGGAATCAATTTTATATACTATAAGGTATCATAAAACATTATTTTAATTCGATTCGCTCTATCCACTAATTTTCAATCGCCATTTTATTCCAGAATTTGCCTTAAGTGGCCGACAACAGGTACTTTCACCCTACATATTTTTATTTAGGCACTTGTTAACTTTATTTCTAGCTTATTGTCCTTGAAACTCAATAGTTTTATCAATTCGATTAAAAAATACAATTAAATATTAACATTATAAAAATATGTATAACAATTAAATAATAATAATTGGTTTCGACGATATTCAAGAAAATTTTGGCAACTCTGTAAATTTATGACAAGCTATTCAGTATCCATCTGACAACAACTATTTTTAATAATTGCGCAATGTTGTGCAATTTGTGGCCTGTCGTGTCGTTGGTCGTTCTTTATTTCCCCACCTAGAAAACCCCCCCATCGGGCACCCGCTGCCATAATTTTGCTTCACTTCACAGTTGACAGTTCACGCGTTCACTTACCTTCAATTTTCATTTTATTTCGCGTCGCCGTTTGCCGCACCTACTCACAAGTTTTAGTAGTTAGAGTCAGTGTTAGTGAAGAAAAGCCAAATTTCGGTAAGAATAAATTATTTTTGTTTGAAATTTATTTATTTATCGTTTGAATTATTTTTTTTTTGTGAGAAATTTTGGTAGGTATTTTATTTGGGGATTTTAGAAGGTCGGCCATTGATGCATTACGCAGTGGAACCCCGCCCGTCTGAGTGATTCCCCTATTTATTTTTATGTTTTTGGGCTCTTCTCACTCTTTTAGCATTTTTTTTTTCAGAAGCCTTAGCCTATTAAATTTTTCTATTTTTTTTGCTAATTAACTGTGCTTTACTGTGCTGCTACTTGGTATTCAGAGGCGGATCCAGGATTTTCTTTAGGGAGCGCTGGTTATGAATTATCAACAATAATTTTTTGAACATTTATTTTTACTTCCCTTATACGTTGTTAGAGAATGTACGGTTATACGGTGGCTAAATAAACCTTCACATACAGTGGCGACAATAGAGGTCCCGCTGCCATTTTGTTCCCAACCTCTTGTTACTTTTTAATATGAATTTATAGGATTTAAATGGACATATCTTTCATTAAAAATATAAGTCGACGCATTTGATGACTATTATTAGGTCCATCAAATACGTATTGTTTTCCATGTTTTATGATGGATGTTTACCTAAATCCTAAATCCCATATATTTATATTTGAAATAAGCAATAGGTGGGTACAAGATGGCGAGTTTTCAATATAAATATGTGGAATTTTAGAACCAATAAAAAATAAGACAATTGTCGCCACTGTGGGTAATAGAGTCACTGTAATTGCACGTAATTGGTTATAAATGTCACCCCCTCTATCTTTTTTATTTGACATTTTAGAAAAAAGCTCGGAAAAAAGTGTCCCAAATAAAAAATTTATGGTCACTTTTGCATATACAGGGTGTTTCAAAAAAGCTGGTCGTGCTCCAACTTTCTTATTTTAAATCGAATACCCTGTATATTATTCAATATTCGGATTTTACGTCAAATTCTGAGCAGATTTCATGTGATATATCCTGTGTTGGAAATATTGACAGTTGAAAATTGACTTTTTTGCAACTTTGACAGGCTGTAAAACTTAAACGGTTAACTTTTGAGCAAAACCGATCTTACATTTTTTTCTAAGATTTTTACAAGTTATCATTTGACACCAACTTTGAATTTAACCGAAAATTAAATTTAACTGGAATTTTCAATCAGGGATTAAATTCAAAGGTGATGTCAAATATTGGTGTCAACTGATAAAAATCTAAGATAAAAATGTAAGATCGGTTTTGCTCTAATATTAACTGTTTAGGATTTACAGCCTGTCAAAGTTGCAAAAAACTCAATTTTCAACTGTCAATATTTCCAAAACAGTTGAACTTAGGTATAGGCTATATCACATGAAATCTGCTCAGAATTTCAACCATAAAACTTTACAGGTTGGTCCAATTTGGAGACTTTTGATACGAAGAAATGAATCCCCCGCTGTGAAGCTCAAATTTTATTACAAAGGATATTTCTGAATTTTTAACAATACTGTACAGGGTGTTTCAAATTCGAGCCACATCATTAGGATTTCGGAAACGGTGAGAGATATAGGATTGGTTGAATTGGAGCAAAGTTACGTAATTTGATGCTTAACATAATGCCGCCGCTTTGATATTTACGATATTCCGAATACTATACGGAAAACACCGAAATTTTACAAAATTGTTTTTATTTTTTCTTGACTTTATTTAAAATGATATTTTAGAAGATGTCACTTCATCATAGCCACTTTTTCTCCCCTACAATATGCCAACTTCAAATTTAAAATCTGCGTTTCGTCTTTGGGCCACCATTTTTTTTGAAATATCACTTCAAATAAAGTCAGGAAAAAATAAAAACAATTTTGGAAAATTTCATTTTTTTCCAGATATCTCCGGAAGTATTCGGAATATCCTAAATATCAAAGCGGCATTTTGTTAAGCATCAAATTACGCAACTTTGCCCCAACTTAACCAATCCTGTACCTATCTCTCACCGTTTCCGAGATCCCAATGATG